TTTTTTGAATAAATTGCCCATCACATTTTTTCATCTCGAACATAAAAAGAACACGTACTTTATTCCAATAGTTATGATGCTTTTTCTTCTGTTATGTCCGAAGAGTCCTCGCAATTATTTTCAAAAAATAAGAGCTGTCGAACAATTGTCTGTTTTTTTATACTAAAGGGGCAAACTAAACGCAAATTCAGGTTGTTTTTCCACAATGTTTTTTTTTCAAGGATGATTTTGGACAACAATTGTTTCAAAATTTTCCAACATTTTATCGTAGACAGAGAGCCGATTTAGCCAATTTAGTGCCGAAATAGTGTCGATTTCTATACGCGGAATAATCTGGCATGTTAATGAAACTAAAATTGATACTTTCTAAAGTAGCTGAGAAAGTTGGCTGTTTCGATGTGATTTTTTTTTTTCAAAATTCGAAGTAAATAATCTTCAGAACCATCCTCAACATATGCTTTTTAGATAATAAAAACATCAATATGCGCTTAGAATTGTTTGCTGGAGTGGAAAACAAAAAGTTTTAGACTGCAAACAATTTGCCGTTCTAAATATTTTTCATGCACACTTAAGGACAAAATTAAGCGTAAGTTCAGGTTTTTTCCATCTAAAAAGCCTGTTTTCAATGTCCATTTTGGACAACATTTGCTTCCATCTTCGGCGAAACTTTACATACACAAAGGAAAATCAACGGAGCTACCGTCTAAGAAACTATCAATATTTGATTTTAAAGAATTGCCAATGAAACCGGCTCTGAAACTCCAGTTTTCCTCACTTGCTCTCTAAGTTTTTGAATCCGCGTGAAAAAGAAAGAAACGGCCGATTTCAGTAAAACTTTCACACTGATTATTTCGCATGAATACTTTTTTACTCACCTTAATCGAGAAAAAGTTCACTGCGATGCTCAACTGATAGATTCATAGATGGTAGCTCTGACTATTTTGCTCTTGCTCTTTATAAAAAATTTAACTGAGATTGAATTTAATGTTGTCCAGAATCGGCATTGAAAACGGTCATTTTAGAGATTACAAACCAAAATTTGCGCTTAATTTTGTCCTATAGAGTATCTAAAGACTCCAATCAAACGCGCAATAAATTGTAGCAGATAAACAACAGCTAAACTGGAGAAAAAATAAGGCAACTATTAAATTTAAAAACTCTAAGTTTAAAAACTTTAAATTTTTATAAAATTTTGTCATCATAAAATCTTTTCAAGCCTCGTGTGAAAACACTACGTTTTAAGCATATTTAATGCCAGAAATAATTGAAACAGCAAAAACTTGAAATCTCACAAATATTGGGATCCTTACACTGAAGGAACCAAGATCATACTTTTTTATCCAAATAAACCAGTAATTAGCAAAAAATTTCCTTCCATTTTGAGACTAAAGCAACGTAAGAACACTTTTTGTTACGCGGGTTAATTTTTGTTGTGAAAAAAGCAAAAGTTTAAAGTTGAATCTGTACAAAATCAGCTTTTTCGAAGACTTTTGCGATATTTTTTGCAATTGTTTTTAACTTTTTGTTTTTAAACAAAAAAAAACGTTATTCTCCGTGAAATTTATGGTTAATAGTTACCATTTTATTTGTGTTTACTAAATTTTCCATTGTTTTTTGTTGTTTTTAAATTTTTAAGTTGCGTTACTTTTGGTACAGTATATATGTTTCAAATGTTTGATTGTTCGAATAAAGCACGGAAAAAATATCATTTGAAGCAACAGCTATATTTTGCTTCGAGAAAACTTGTGATCAAATCGAGACATGCAGAGTCGAAATGTGAAAAAATTACGAGATGCAATGTAAGCTGCCGATTATCTGGTATGAAACATACGCTAAAAACTTTAAAAAAACTCACTCATTTGAAAAAGTTTTCATGCTAATACGTGATTTTCTCTTTTTAATTATCTTTAAATGATTGCTCGAACATCTATATTGCACAAATGATTCGAATAAAGCCCTAGTAATTCACAATTTTTTTAAGCACAGCAAGGAAACATATTGAACACATGTGTTATATTTCACTTTAATGATAATGGTTAAAATAGTGCTATGTTTTGCTATTAAGTTCACGCGTGCATATCTGTGTCATATAAGTTGTGCTATAAGTTCACGCGTGCATATCTGCGTCATTGTGACTTTCGGTCTGCTTGACGATAGCGATATAAAGAAAAAAGTAGCTTAATCAAATAAAAATACAAATCTTTGGACTGTTTTTTAGTAGTTTTATGTCGTTTTTCTGAGTTACGCTTTTGCTTAAACGCGAAAAAGTTATTTTTGTGAGCTAATTTTGCAGAAAAAGTTGTCTAATTTAAAACTATTGATTGGCATATCAAAATACAAGTTTTAAAAGTTCTGTAGAACTTTTCGAACTAATATGCTTTTCTAAGATATCTCGGGATGACACTCACAGAAGTGTGCGGAAGAAGATTGATGCACATTACAACAAAGCGGTATATCAGGGGAGCAATACAAGCAAGAGAGCCCTCTAGCTCGTATAGTGGAGCAGCATATCTTGGACAACTAATTTGAGCTAAAGGTGTAATGAAGTATGACAGAATTCACTAATTGTAAAAATAGTGCTTAGTTAAGCATCCATTTGTGACTAGAAATTTGTTGAAATTAGCATAGACACTGGTGAAAAAAAAATAAGGCGCAAATTCCGGTTTATCTCTAAAATGGCTGTGTTCAAGAATGATTTCGCATAACTTTTTAGATAGATCAGGAGCAAATGATCAGAGCTACCCTTCGTTAAATGACTTACCACTTGTTTCAGGGACTTGACTTACCAGTTGTTTTCAGTTGTGAAAATGTCAGTTTTCACCAGAGCGCTAATTTTTTCAGAACTCCTGAAATTGTAAGAAGCATCTGAGTTAAGTTAAGTTGTCACACTAGTCAAGTTGTCAATGTTTCAAATCGCATGAGCTATTTTTTCTCGCTATGGAGGGAAGCTCTGATCATTTGCTATTGGTATAAAAATTTTGGTTTAAACTTCCAGTGAATGATGCTCAAATCATCCATAAAAACAAGCATTTTAGTAAAAACAAGCATCATTACCACAGAATATTCCGATCATAGTCCTGAAAATCACAAGGTATTTCAAAACATTGTCGTCTTTTTTCGGCGTGGTGTGATAAATGGAGCTTAACAAAAAACTGCAAATTAGGTATATTCGACAGTCAAAATAAAATCATCAAATTGAAAAACAATTTTTGTAAAAAAAACAACTTGAAACAAAAAAAAATAAATTTCTCTTCAAGTTTTGCAGTTTTTTGAACTTTTGAAAACTTTAATTCCAAAAAGGCGCTAAAATACTCAAATTAAACTACCGTTACTCAAATAAAACTAATTTTATTTTTTTTTTAATTAAGCTATTGTAAGCTTTTAAGCAACTAAAATAAGACTGCTCCCTCGCTTTACTCGTTCGAAATAAGCCGAAAAATCAAACGTTAAAGCCAACTTCTCTCGACAGAAAAAATTCATTTGAAAATTTTTAATGTGGTTCGAATCACGACGCTAAGGGCTTTAATATGATCTATCACTCAGCCCAATCAGCTCATAATTTGTGGTACCTCATTTTGCGTAAAATAATTTAATAAAAAAATTTTAAGCAACTAAAATAAGACTCCTCCCTCGCTTTACTCGTTCGAAATAAGACGAAAAATCAAACGTTAAAGCCAACTTTTCTCGACAGAAAAAATTCATTTGAAAATTTTTAATGTGGTTCGAATCACGACGCTAAGGGCTGTAATATGATCTATCACTCAGCCCAATCAGCTCATAATTTGTGGTACCTCATTTTGCGTAAAATAATTTAATAAAACACACCCGAATACAAAGTGCCTTCCCATTTTCAATGGTCGGAATAACACGCACCTCATTTTCAAAATAATTCTCGTTAAAAGGCTTGTTAATTTCAAAGATTCAAATTAGGATGCACATCTAAAATGACCCAACTATTAAACTTGACATATGAAATGACCCAACTATTAAAATTAACTTTTTATAATGATAATTTGATTTATCATCTTCTGATTGTTTTATGGTCCAATTTTTTCCAAAAAAAAAACTGCATTTAAAGGTTACTGTCAGTTAAAAAGGTCATCCTCATCTCAGCAGTTACGTCAGTTACTGTCAACCTCATCTCAGCAATATGAAAAAAAAAAATTAAATTCTCCCTGAGATTATGTTAAGTTTTGAAGAAAAAAAAATTAATTGAAAAAAAAACAATATTTTATGATTCCTGAATTGCGTTTAAAAGTTATTGAATCAGGCTCAGAGGTTTCAACTCACAACAACCCGAAAAAAAAACAAATATATGCAATAGACACAGATTCATGACTGCAAGTTCGCCAACACAAGCGAGAACGCAGCAAGGGGTAGCTTTAAATCATGCTTGGCATAAATCTGTGACACATAATTACGCGTGACTTAACGCAAGAGCATTTGTGAGAAAACTGTCCCAAAAAATTCGAAAAAAAATTGACATAAAGAATTACAAATGGGTGGTTAAATTGTGTCGGGAGAGTCGTCAAAACAGCTACTTTGGCTTGTTTCAAATGCACAAAAACACAAATTTTGCTAATGATGATTGGGAATGTAATTAACTTGGACCAATCACACTAATTTCGCATGTTTGAATTGGAAGAGAGAAAAAGAAATCGCGCAATAATCATTGTTTTCCAAACTACTTTCAAGTCAGACTAATAAAATTTTAGATTGCTGGACCTTGACGACAATCCAGGCTAGCAAAAAACTTATCAAATTTAAAATGAATGCTTTGATTTTTTAAAGAAAATTAATTTCAAAAATGTCGAATTCTCCTTGTTCTCAAAATACGCCGCGCATAGGAGTCTCTCGAACAAAGATTTGAGCTTTCTGCAGAGAAAATACCACTAAAAAACGCTGGGAAATTTGTAGCATATTATGATATGTAGCAGATATTCGTAAGAGTCAAATAAATGTAGCGATCTTTGCCTTAATCACTCATTAAAAAAAACAACCAGTTTACTTTTTTGATGTATTATCTCGTATCAAAATAACATCCTCATAGTGAAAGCGTTTAGAGAAAGCAAAAAATATATAACTAGTCAAATGCGATATTTTTCTCTTTTAAACTATGTCGCTTTGGCGTGTTTTCTAATTGAGTTTTCCTTTGATGTTCTTCTTTGAGATTCTCTAGTGTTCTGTTCAGTCGAATTATTTCAAGTCCGATTGAGTAGTTGGCATATTCCTCTTCCAGTGCGGCCATGGATTGCTTGGGTCCTAAATACAAGGTTGCATTACTGATTTGCACTGGTTTTTTTTTTTCATTTTTAGACAAAAATAATGAAATCATCGCCAAATTAATACTTAAACAGGGAAGTTATAACTAATCCCCTTCCATCTAATTAATTCAGCCAGCCAGATGCCAGTTTTCACTTCTGTTTTTTTTTAAATTATTATTTAAGGGGGAGGGGTGATTAGTAGGCGGGACTCTGATTATAGTGATAAGAACTTATTGTAACCAGTTGACTTAGCGTTTGAAATATCTTTTTAGTCCCGCAACTAAGGCCGCGACCAATTGAAAACGTCTTCAATTTGATATATCACTGAACCCTATCTGACTTTAATTGTGGCACCTAGCTTTAATGAAAAAAAAAACGAAATCCGAAAATCCTCGTCAACTTCTGTTATCCAAAAAAAGAAAATAAGAACACAGCAAACACACCATTATAAAAGTGCAAATGAACTCTTGTAAACAGACACAAGATAAACTGATACTTTTTAAAGACTTCCAGCAAAACAGACCGACCGAAAAAAACTAATCAACCTAAAAAAAATAAAAACTCAAACTGTTGATCAATTTAAAATCAAACTGTCTGTCATTTAGTTTACCTCTTCCATTGACAACGTAAGAGAAATCAGGCCACTCATTAAGTGCATCACTCCATATTGCGTGTTGTGATGTATCACTGCTGTTGTTATTTTTGTTGTTGTTTTTAACTGTCTGGGAGTTCGTTCTCTGTCTGAATGAAGTCACACTGTCACCAACCCAACGAGAGTAGTTAGCTGCTATTCGCCTGCTACTACTGATCTGCGCCATTACCATACCATATTTATCACATTTACAGCTTCTAATTATAACATTTCTGCTTATATGCAAAGAAACGCTCATCTCAACTGAAATGAACAGTAATAATTTAATTCATTTATCAGTTTTATTTTCAATTCAAATGTGACAACGCTTTTTCTTTAAAAAATAGAAATATCGATGATATAACAGAAAATTCGATCTTTTCTTTTGAAAGTCAGACCACTAAATGGAAGCGGACACTCAATAAGTGAGAGAAAACACGGCAGAGACAGGGCTGGCACTGTTGTAAAAAAAACATGATAGTGATTTTAAAAAAACTTTGTTTTTTTTTGTTTTGCAAAAGCAAACGTTGTGTGTAAATATTAAAATCCTGAATGAAAAAATTTAGAACCCAAAACAGGTGCTAAGAGTCCTGACGAGCTCAACCGGTGTTCCAAACTTACTTAACACAAACCAGTGAAGGAGCGATTGCGCGAAAATTTTGTCAACCAATCAGAGCTCATAATGAAAAAAAAATACACGGGAAACAAGTGAGAAATTTGGTCAGTTTGGGAGTTTAAAGGTCGCTGATTGCTTGAAAATTTTGGCGCATTCGGTCCTTCGCGGATCAGAATAGCCTTTACCAGAGCACAAAAACTGAAATCAACTACAAATTTTTATAAACCAATTTGCAAAACACCCAGAACAGTAGTAACCAAAAAGAACAAGCCAAAAAACTTAACAGGCCTCAAAAAAGTAGAAAAAACAAATTAACAGTTTGTCAAACTTGACTTTCAAAATTATCAACGTCGTTGCAATTCAAAAATGTTTAAGCAAACCCATTTTTGATGAAGCTGATCCAAAGAGAAAAAAATGATTGAACGGGCAAATTCGTTATTATAGCAGAAATTCTTCAAATTGAAATCCGGATTTGTTGAAACTAAAAATCGGATCTTGTTAACTATTTCCTCCCTATGCTTATGCATCTACTATTTTTGATAACCATTTTTGTATAAAATATGCAATTCAAAAATGTCAACAATTAATTGGTTTTCATTTTTGCGCGCTCGTAGTTGTAGCACTCCACTCCTTAAATAATACATACTTTAAAAATTTTAATTAAATATATTTTCTGAAAATTGTTTTCAGCTATTGAAAATGTGTCAGCCAAATTTGAAACTTCTGAAAATCAAAATACGTCCCGTACCCAGGGGATATTCTGTGCAAAATCTGAAATTCTTTATTTCTTACATAAATTGATTCTCAGATCTGAAATTCTTTATTTCAATTCTTGATAAGAATTTACAAATTTCAGAGCTGAAATTTGGATCTGAAATCGAAAACTTCAGATCTGAAATAACCTTGAAAAACAAAAATTCAGATCTGAAATCAGATCTGAGAAACCTTTTGTTAAATTATAAATTAAGCAGTTTGAACAAAAAATGAGTGTTTATTAGTTGATGTTTCTGCAATACACAATTATGTTTAGATTAACTAGCGGTAAAAAAAATTCCAAATAATTTCACAAAAAGTGTTTATTGGAACTAAATTTTTTGTTCAACTGTGTTAAAATAATTTCAAAACTGTAAGATCTGTCAAATTTTTGATTTTTATGAGCTATTTAGTTGAGAGCATAATTTTCCTTTTGTTTGGAGAATCGTTTTGAATTAAAAGAAATCGAAAAAATATATATATTTTCTTCAACACAAAATTAAATCATTTCGAAAAAATTGGATCAATAGGTAAACATTTTATTCAGCTGTGAATTCCAAAAACTGAGATGCAACTAAGCATCAAGATCCAATTCAATTTTTTAAATTGGAAACCATAATTAGGTCCCTCTGAAAAAAATATGTTCAAAAGTAAGCTTTAAAAAATTCACAGACATACCACTCAACCAGCAAAATGAGGTTCAACCAATTTCGTGCAACAAATAGTTACACGGCCTATCTGAATACAAAATAAATAAGTGCCCAAATCCACTTTAAACAAAAAAACAACAAAATTGCGTTTTATAACCTGCTTGAGATATTGACAATTTTCGGAAAATAAATTCAGAAAATTGTCATCACACTTTTACTGTTAACACTTTTTAACTATCAATTTTCGGAAAACAAAATATATCACGTGAACCTCTCTGAATTTACACAATCTAATATGGTCATAATTTGTTCATACAGCTAACCCCAATCAGAGAAAACAAGATCAAACTATGTATTCAATTATCCTATTATTTCAAAACGAAAATCAAACGGCAAAAATTTTTATAGCGTGAACTTAACTTAAACTCTTTCCTGAACTAAATCATAGCCAGCAGAAGGTTGGAAAAAAAAGTAAAAGAACAAAGAAACCGAAAAAAAAGTCGAATATCTTTCGAATAATTTTCAACGTTTGATGGTTTTATATGATTAGCTTGTTTTGTTAAATTTATCCCTTTTACAGAAATTTGACCCAATGTAACAATTTTTTGTTTAGCTGAAAACTCAGACAACTCAAGTTCATATTCGAAACTATAGACATGAATTTCGTGATCATTCGTGATCTTTGCACTTTTTCGTGATCTTTGCACTTTTGCTATTCTATAGTAGAATTTCCACTCCTTCTAACAAAAAAATGACTTGAACTTGAAAAGACCAAAATTCAAACCGCAAAAAATCAATATTGAGAGAGATCAAATTTTAAGCCTTTTTGATGAAAGAAAAATCAGCCAACAGAGAGCTGGGAAAAGGTCAATAAACGCAAGAAAACAGATACAAACAGGTCATTGTGAAAAAACCAGGTCCGTATAAAAACATAGGATTGCATAGCCATTAGGTAGTTTGAGAAGTTTTAATGGACATTACGTAAGAAAAACTTACATCACCTTTGCGAATCCAGAAATATAGAAATTCAGGAAACAACCTTCAATTTGTTCACGATCAAATTGGATTTTTCGCGACATGATTGTTGATTTCTTTATAAAATCAGTTCAAATTTTTTTAAAAGAAGACAAACTACAATATCGAAGAGCAAAAATGCAAAGTTCACGACAAACGTTTTCGAATTTTTCGAGTTTATTTCTCATATTTCCCAACGGAATAAAAAAAAATTATCTTATGATCCAGTTTTCTCACATTGGGTTGATGTTATCAAAAAAAGTATCAGTCATGAACTTTTATGAAATTCGAAGAGCTTTAAGGGCATTTAGTTTTTTCTGAAATTGGATTGTTGTTATTTTTCAAAAACCAAGCCAGTATTTGTTCTGTTTCCTTGCGTTCATAGACACTTTTCAAAAGCGGAACAAAAAACTACCTATTGATTAGTTAGTTTTCAAATAGGTTATTACTATCAAAAAAAGTATCGACCATAAACTGTTCTTGAAAATCAAAGAGCTTAAAAACTTAAGGGCAAACACTTTTTCGTTGAAATTTGAAATAGGAAGTCAGTCATTGTTTTTTTTTGAGTTTTCTTGCAGTCATTGAATCTTTTCCAACTGTTTGTTGGATATGTATGATAAAATTCACCCAAAGAGGAAAATAGATCAAAAAGAAAATTTTATGATTCAATAGGAAATCTGAAAAGTAAAAATTCATTTAAAACTAAATCTCAAGCTCCATTTTCCCTCCCTTTGTATCTTTATTGTTGTTGAGCACAATTTGCTTTTTACTTAGCAAATTTTAGCCGGAAGTTAAATTGAATTGAAAAGGTATAATCTATGGAATTAAAATCTATGACGACGGTGCAAACTATGAGCTGTTTGTTTATAAATCTCCATCAATCACTCATAACTAGTTGTTGAGCTCCCAAAAAACTTGCTTTCAAAAATTTTAGGCTGCTCTGCATCATACTTGAATTCAATGACCACTGGAAAACCAAAGCTTATGTGAAGATGGTGTTTTGAGGCCCGGCAGCTTAACATAAAATTTAAAAAAAAATCCCAAACTTGCAATTTAGCAGTGTGGTCTATGCCGACCACTTAATTAGGCGAAGATTAACTTTTACATTCATTAAAACACATATTGAAAAAGAGTAATGAACGCAAGAAAGCAAAAAAAAACACTGATTTTCTTTAAAAAACCTCAACTTTCGAAATTCATAGAAAAAAAGATGCCTATTAAGTTCTTTGAATTTCTAAAATAATAAATGACTGGCGCTTTTTTGATAATATGAACCCAATTTGAGAAAAATGGATCAACAGGTAAGGTTTTTATTCCGCTGGGAAATCTTAAAAATAATTTCCACTTTCGAAACTAGAAATCGTTCACGTTTTTTCGCGCCATTTCCCCGTTCGTATTTGGAGAGTACTATTTACGTCATTTTCAGCAGATTAATTTCCATTGAACTCAAAAAGTGCATTTAAGTGTATCAATATTTCAAGACTTTTTCCTGAACAAAAAACGAAAAAAAATCAGCAAGACCTATATAAGAGTCTTCACTACGCACTACGTTCATTAGTCATAAAAATCAGGTTGTTTTAACATATTGAAAATTAAGGTTTGATTGTTATTCGTCTTCATGAGCTTTTTAGCACCTAGTTAAAGCAATTATAGCATGGTGAAAAGCACAAATGCTTACCCTTCGCCACAAGACACCACTAACTAACTTTTACTTGAAACAACCACTTAACAATACCAATAAGCTGTCTAAAAAAATTGCATGGTACAAAACTGTCAACATTCAGTTATTATAAAAGCAAGACTGCTCATATATCAGAAAAGCCCTGAATATTCCAACTGCCGCTTTATCGTTATCGAATATTTGTTGGAAAAGAAAAACAAAAAACCGTTATTTTTGGACTATATGAAACATCTAGCGTGAAAACTTGAGATGTAAGAAATTAACATGAGCGATTAGCTTGCCTCAAATCAATTTGGAACAATTTGCTGAAGCGGTATATTTTTAATGGGAGATGCTATCTTTTTTGGGATATCAAAAAGATTTGTAAATAACCATTCTTCCAATACTTGGGTGAATAAAAAAAACACCCGAAGCACAAATATTCCGCATTTCTTCGAAAGTCGGAACAATATTGCAGCACACTTTTTAAAAAAGATAGTTATTGCAGCCCGCAACATTAGTGGCTGCAATCATCACATAAACTTCTTAACAATCCCTTTATAGTATCTACTAAAAATCTCAAATTCAAAATTGCCTTTCAACAAAAATGTTTCTTTATTCCAGATGTTTTAAGGACAAAGATAATTAATTGTAGTTCCTGCGAATCGCAGAGGAGCTATCAGTAGGCCTAAACAGTCCTGTCGAGGATAGTCCGTTTGTATTATTTCCCCACATTCCAGACTGTGTTATTTTGTTGAGCGAAGCTCTTTTTTGCGACTCAAGGCCGTTTTTGTGCGTCTAGAACTTTCACGTGGTACCACTTTTGCAGCCAAATTTGGTCAGGTTGTGGTAGACCTGAAGCTAGAGGTCAAGTGAGAGCTCGTCCTCACACACTATCATTGCCATGGCATGGGATCGATTACACGATCTGACGATTCCAAAGTGAACGCCTTACCACTATGCTAAGTGCCCCAGGCTATCTTGCAAGATTCTTGCGAGATCTCGCATGAGAGAACAATTCTTTTCAGAACTTCTACAATATTTTAGTGAGAAAACTCAACTAAACACCTTGCACATTTTTCTATGATTCTTCTTTGTATTTCTGAATGAACAGTACATAATCTACACATTATAACAATTCAAAATAATTTTAAGTCAGGGGACTGTCTGGTCTACTGTAAAACTAATGGTAGACTAAATGTTCGGTCGGAGAAATGCTTTATTTTACGTTCCGACTCAACTTATTGCAATTCGTTTTCTTTTCATTATGTCATTCAATGTGAATACAAAAAAAATCCAGTACAGTGATACTTCATGGCAATATACGACTTACACAATTTCCATGATTCCCAGAGGCTATGACAAAGGCGGGTTATCATCATCGGTTCTGTAATGAAATTTCCATCATCATTAAGCTCAATATTGGTATGATCAGCTACAGTTGGCAATTGGTTGGACTTAAAACCCTTTAACAACATCGTGAAATAGCAGTATCAGTGATTTAAAAGCAGCGTAGTCTACTTGATACGGAAAGTATCGAACATCGTCAGGGAGGCTGTTCATGTTCACATTACTCAGCCAGGAGTGATCCGATGGAAGTCGTTCCATGCCCGTAGATGGTCGGTCTGCTTGCGGCATCCTCGTCGAGCAATGAAACTTATTATTCTTCAACAATCAAGGCTTTTGAAGTATCCAAGTGGATTTATTTAGAAAGAGAAGCAGCTTAAAACTACTACGTAACACTTCAGTATTTTATCAGCCTTCTTGTAGTAAACTGGTCCGGCTAAGTTGATCATTGTAGACGAACGGTGGCGACGGGTTGAATCTCTTACTATCGTAATTTTCCATAAGCTGAATCATTGCTCTGCTATAAAATCTGAAGCAAGCGATGCATTTGCCTGTTGTGCCAAAGACTTGTCTCGTAGGATCCAGAATTGCTGATTATTGCGACTGACAGAGGCATTTAATCTAGTATAGCTGAACAAGCTGACTTTGGAGAATCATAGTTTTTGACAAATACGTTTTCGGAGACCAAATTGTGCTAACATTGTTTATTCAATTAGGCAGTTAGCTGCTGCGAATCGTCCAGTAACACTAAGCAATTCATCATTGTCTATCAATGAATACAGCTAAACGAGGCTTGATGTCCGGTTACCGTCTTGGAGGTTCTATGATTTTTTGAGCTCAAATTCTTTAGAGGTTGGAAAAATAATCTGGAAAAACTCCCAGCAAAAACCTAGAAGTCGTTTCAACAATCAACAACGCTGATTTTAGAAAAATTTGCCACCCTACAATTCAATTCAATTTTGTAATGAGAAAAGCAACATACTTGTAAATCAATATGCTATCAGATTCCCCAATTTTTCTGTATTCTTTAGTCGTTGTATCAATTTTGATACCAAAGGAACAGTTTTTGTTCTCATGCGAAAAATTTCGCTAGCAAAAATAGAACTTTTTGCCGGTAACGTGGTCCAGATGCGCGGAAATTCAATTAAGTTTTTATGTAGGTAATTTTCCCTCATCGAAAACTTTTGAATATGTAGGTTTTTGGCTCTTTTCCAGTTTCCCACCCATTTAAAATAGACTTTCATCAAATAAATTTCAAGAAAAGTCAAAGAGGGGGACTGGAAAAGAGCCAGGTTTTTGCCCAAAATCTAATTTTGATTGAGATTTTTCCATAAATTCTTTGCAAAAATTGGTGCTCGAAATCTGATTTGTATTGACATTTTTCATGATTTCTATAACATCTGGCACGTGTGTATAAAAACCGCGACTAAAATATTACTATTTTTTACTAGCATGTTTTTCAGATTTCTAGTAATCAGATTGAAGTTCAGGTTCCAATAAGTAACGGGCACCAAAATTGCATTATGGAATTTTGCCACATTCCGGCTTTGCACAGCGATTATTAAAGAAAATCAAATAAAAATTAAGGATATATAGGAAAAAAATAAAGATAACACGGGATATTATATTCCCTATCAATCTCACCTTCGATAGTCCTTCTTTATAGCGTAATGCAAAAACCCATGCGCTTAGGACCGAGGACTACTCGCATTTGGACCAAAATCCGAAGAAAAAATAATTTGCCAAAATAATTTTGGACACATTAAACGACAGTGCGAGCATTCAAACCTTCTTCACGATAACAGCAGTCTGGCTGAATGTCCCACGTTTCGCCCCCGACACATTTCGACCCTCTTGAATCTAGTGCCACATTTCGCTCCTCACACATTTCACCCCTAATAATTTCACACATTTCGTCCTCGCAAGTTTGGCCCCTAACTTATTACAGTTAATTAACCGCCGCTTTCTTAACGTACATTAGGGGCGAAATGTGTTTGGGTCGAAATGCGCCGTAATTTATGAGGGGCAAAACGTGTGAGGGGCAAAATGTGTGAATACCAGTCCGGTTATCTTTAGTTCTGATTAAAAAATCAAGATCAACTTTGACTTAAACCTACATGTAAACCGATTATCGCAACAAACGTTTGAAGTGGACTAGAATCATTTCAACTAAACACACCAGCAATGTATATCAAAGCAATTGGTACCTTATTGACAATACAATTTCATTTTTTGAACCATAAGCAATTTACGATTATCAAGGATTTAACTCAGCGCAACTTGACCCGGCATTCCATCAGCCTGTTAGCATGTGATAAGTACTAATGCCGACAAGTGACCTTTTTTCTTCTAGATGCCGCATCATTCGACAGCAACTTTAGTTAATAGGTTGTCGAAGTTTTTGACATCTGGAGGTACGAATGTTCGCTTTGCTTCCTCACTCAAGAACACCTCCTTGGAGTAGTATGAGAAAGGCAGACTCGTATCCTGCAAGTGAGGGTTCCGACTTAGAAACTCCTCGAAGGACTCCAGACTGTCAGCGGGGGAATCCTTGATGGCATTGTTGACCATGGAGAGGTAGAAAACGGAGATGGTCTCACTGTACCCGAAGATGATCTTGTCTCTGTTTGTGCTGTTGAATTTACGGATACCTTCTCGCACCTTAACACAAAAAACTAGGTAAATTAGTGGAATGTCTTGTTTCAACAAACAATGCTTTATTAAGACATAATTTTTAACCATGATATTTAAAAAGTCAACTTGTTGCATAACAGCGAAAACATTGTCACAATTAATTTTTATTGTTCCAGTATAATCTCAACTTGCATCTTCTAAGACATCTTCTTCGCCGTAATGAGCAAGTGAATTTTTAGCTGAGACCAAATCTAAACTTCAGATAAATTCACCCCAACTGACCTTATTGAGGGCGGTGTGCATGTCGTATTGTTTGAGGTAGTTCCACCCCATGCGCAGATGTGCCTTGTGGGTCCAAAAGTCATAGGGTAGCGTGGTGTCTTCGAAGGCTGCGATGAATGTGTCATCTCCGATGGATCTGTATGACCTCCCGAAGAATAGTAGAGGAGACATTCCGGCTAGAAAAAGACAAATGAAAAAATTTGGGTCCCTCGAAAAAGCAAGTCTGTATGAAGGTTCCCGCTACTTTATAAGTATTTCCAAACTCACAAAAAATTGCATATCGGTTCCCATCGTATTTGCATCTATATATTCTAACACAGAGGCGAGGTTGCACATGGCATACACAAGAAAAAATATGACGCTATTGAGAAAAACTAATGAGTAAACCTTTGAGTGTACAAAATTTCTTCAGTGACGCACGCCAATTATGAGTCTGCATAATTGCTAAGTGATGCAAGCCAGTTATGACGCATTAGCAGTACCAGTCAATTTGGAAAAAAAAATTATCAACTAACATGCCTCAATTTATAGAGCGGATGCATTTTAAGTTGTGTACGAAAAATTTAATTGAAAACATCCGACCCTGCCCAGGTGCGAACCCTCTTATTGCTTGCGGGTCTAGTTCCCTACCTCTACGCTACAGATACATGATAACTTGGTTCTAAAGTGCTATTTGTAATTTAATAGTCTTTGTTAATATCCTTAGCATTGGCTGTACTTAATAGCTGGTTTTTGATCAAAATGAACTCTTTCAAAATGAACACATTTTGTCGCAACAATATTTGCGTCGCAACAATATTTCGACTTAGGTCGAAAAAAAAAGTTCAAACAAAAACTTTGTGTAATAAATTAGTCGAAAGAAAACTTGAAAAAAAATGAACATTTTCATTGGAAAAATGAAAAATCAATTTCATAAAATCGGCCGAGAAACACAATCACTAGCATTAAACAATCTTTTAGTATTTAAGGAGCGGTCACTTACTCGACAACACGTGGTAAGACGCCCATTGATCCAAAAAAAAACGCCAAACAAAATTTTTGTTGTAAAAAACTTGAGCGATTAAACTTTTAAACTTTTAATTTTTGCACTACAGCCGACCTGATTTAGTTAAAACCAAAATAATCATTTTTGCCCGTATCCCGATAGTGAATAAGTTCACTAAGCCGACAAAATAAGAGCCGAAATCATTTGGGCCGCAACAAAAAAATGCAAAAAAAAAGAAAACATACCAATCAGACTTAGTAATTCACAATCTACAGGGGTCATTCAACGACACTTGAGATTTCATTTAAAATTGCTTAAAGCTCAAAAACAAATCCGTGGTGTGGCAACTAAGCTGAGAAAACATAAGCCAAGCCGACATTCTCAACTTTTCCCGGAAAAAAGTTTTCAATTTCAGACTTTGTAAAAAAAACAAGGTCCGACTGCGACTCAAACCCGAGAGCATACGGTGCAAAGGCGACAGCATTACCTCCAGACCAACTGGGACTGGCAATTGCCCAGGTTCGATAATACAGCAACGTCATTTTCTTAGAACGTCATTTGTTTACCGGTAAAAAGTCTAGTTACCGATTGTAAGACACGCAAGTGTAATTAAAATGAAAATATCGAGAGAGTGGAAAATATTTCGGCTACCATCTTTGAAAATATTCTATTTTGAATTTAAAAAATCTGACCATGCCAGTTTTCAACATCTGCAGTAAATTTTCCCAGCCACGTGAAAAAGCAGAGAGAGTCTAGGAACTTGTTTAAATATCACACTGAAATGTTATCAGAAAAATATACTCCTTGAATTTCAATCCCATTCAACTTTCGCTCTGTGAATATTTCAGATTGCATGCCTAACTTTTTTCGCCGCTTATTGGAGAAAAAGCTGATACCACTGAAAAACTTATTGCATATGGTAAAAAAAACTGGCATTCTCACAACCGAAGCAAACTGACATGTCCTTTAAACTAAATATGGATATCATCATTTGCACTCGCGTAAAAAAAATTCAAGATGCCTTTGAACATATCAAAACTTCATGTGTCATTGTCCGGAGTTGATCCCCGGCGCTTGGTTAAAAATCACTTGCCTCAACCACCGTGTCAAGCTGCTTGTCTAGATCGTACAAAAAGTAAGACTAGTAGGAAATAAATTTCTGCGTACTATTTCGTTTTCAAGATTTTATATTTTACACATCATATCCTAAATAAAACTCCGGAATGAAAATTATACACAGAAAACTATCAATTTGGATGAACAAAATGACTTCGTAGTATAAAACAAGCTCTACCCGTATTGAAAATATGCAAGAAAATGTAAGAAAGAGTACCGTTAGCGATGATGGTTTTGAGGACATCGCCATACCATACGAAGTGGTCGCCCACCTGATGGAACTCCCTCTTCGAACAGAGTAAGTGGCCCACACACCCCTCTAACAGGGGCAGATTGAACTCAGTGTCTATTGCATGTGGTACTCTCTTGAACTGACTATTTTCCTCTTCCGTGCCTTGGGCCAGCGGAGTTGAGAAGCGGATACTGAGGTTCGCTTGTGTCTCTGAGAGAATGTTCACTGCAAACAGTCCACTCTCTGTCAACAATGAGTGGAATCTAAACGAAACCACTCAATATAGCTTACAGACATTCGAAAAAATTTCAATTAAATTTCACGAAAGACAACACTGACTAACATATTTTGAGACAACTGGATCAATAAGCAATTTTTTGGTTTCACTAGATCTTAGAACTAAAGTCCATTTTTGAAACTTGAGAACTTTCGAAATTTTTTGTGCCATTTGTACTTTTGTACAATGTGCTTTCCATTTAGCATATGAATTTGAATTGGACTTTAAAAGAAATCAAAAATCCAACCCCGAAAAAATCAACTTCAGTGCGTACTAATTTTAAGACATTTGCTGAAAAAACACTCGCTGCAAGCCTGCAAACAGTCGCTGCAAACCTAAATAAGTGTCTTCTTCTCAATCATTAATACTTTAATGTACTCAAATACAACTAAATTTTTGAAAATCGTCTCCACCCTTCTCAATGAGTCAAATAGAAGTGTCAAAAAGCTAAGAGTTTCATTCAATCCAAAACCTTCAAATATGCCGAAACTCGGACCTCATTGTCTGACCATTTTTTTAAACTGATTGAAACTGGATCCAATTCCATAAAAACTAATCAAATTGTCTTTTACTGTTAAAATATTCAAATAAGAACGACGTTGCTTACGCAAAAATCCGCATTGTAACAATTTTTTGGCCACTTTATTTTAAATAAATGCTACCTGTGAGATAATGTGAAGCAGTTGAAATAGAGAGCAACAAAAAGTTCAGAAGTTAGAATTAAGGCCTTGTTTTTCAAACAGAAATAATATCTTACGGTCACCTGGAAACTTGAATGCAAAATGTCTTCAAAATCACCAGGTTGCTTATTTTAAATAATTTTGTTCATTTTGATTAACTTTTTGCAATTTATAATACCTGCTGGGATTCTGCATGCAGAATGAGACTACAGGTGGCTTGGCTGACACACTTGTGAAGGAGCTACAGGTCACTCCTCGCAACACACTCTCCCCGCCTCCACCTGGCGCTCTAGTGGTGACCACGACCACAGAAGTGGGCACATATTGCATCACTCTTCGTAACTCCCTACCTCCACCCCCACTCGAAGAAGAGAAGCGACAGAAGAAGAGACGCCATATAAACATAGTGGGGCCTTTCACCTCACAAATCAATAAACTTTACTATGGTGTCGGCTGTCTTGTTTATGTTCATATCTCAATTCACTGAAACGGAAAACCAGGCCATATTACGAAAAGTATACAACTTTTCACAGATGCGTTCAAATAATTGAACAATACTAGCATACCCACCGCAGCAATCTGCTTCGAGAAACAAAAAGCTTGCAGATATACTACAATACGACCCAATACAAAGTTGATAGATTGCTAAGGTGAATAAATGGATGTATAGTTTTGGGAACTTTAACACTCTCCTGCTCATTTTTTTTTCAAAAAAGTTTTCCTAAAATTTTATACTAAAATCGCTTTCACTTTCGAAAAAAAGAACTTGCATTCATATGTGGGTACCCTCGGCAGCATTAAAAATTATTCCACTTGAATGAAAATGAGGTTTCGACGTTAAATCATCTAGGAAGAGATGGGTAAATACTTGCTTCTGATACATGCCTACTAGCCTACTTAATACGATTGGATAAGCAATGCACAAGCTAAACAAGACTGCTCGTATCAGGGCGAAGCCCTGAAAGTTCCGACTGCCTTTTAAGGTCTATGGAGCATTAATAAGATGAAAAATTTCAATGTATTAAAAAAATTTAATAAACTTTTTGAAAAAATTTGAGATAAAATTTGAGTAAAAACATCCCCCCACACGTCATATTAAGTACAAAGTGATAGATTTTGCGCCTATTAACAAATCAATTATGGCATATAAGCTTCCTTGAACCAATGTGGAACGATTTCTAAGACGGATTAAATCTCGCTTACGCGTTAATAGCGCGAAATTTATCGCGCGTTAATTGTCCCAAATTGGCCAAAATGGCAATCTTTAAACCCCCATAACTTTACAAAAAAAGATCACAGGTGAAATATCTTTTCAAATTCAAGCTCAGGACAACAATACCTTTCGAATGATACAAAAAAATTCCGTCAAAAATGGCTAGTTAAAAAGTCGAAATTTGTCTGAAGAAAAAAAAACCCACCCCGAGCACAAATATTCCGTTACTTTCGTATCGAAAGTCGGAACAATAATGGTCGAGATTCAAAAATTAGTTTTAAGATGGCCAGATCGGTCTTTGCATAACTATGTGAAATTATTACGTTGATTTAAATTAAACATAGCGAGATACGTGTCTCACACTTTAATATGCAATAGATATGAGGTTTCATCAATTTTTCATGAGTTGCGACTGAGGTTTCATACAACAGACATGTAGACAGTCGTCGTTGATTCAGTTTGTATTAAATGTTTCCAGAGAAACCGTTCAAAACTTTCAACCTTTAACGTATATTGACCTAACCGACTGGTTGTATAAAAATAAATTTACATATGCGAAGCTGTAAACAAAGCTAAAAATTAAATTGAAAAATCGAAACAATTTGAAAGTATGTTGAAAAATATTTAGCCAGTGCGATGACCCACTGCGAAATGTTTCTGAAATCACTGTATAATTGCTAATCAATCTAAGCAGCAAATTTTTCCAGGAATAAAAAACATATGAACAGAATTTTAAAAAGTCTGTTTCAATATCTATTTCTTGGCGAAACTTTTCATTTCATCCTGTTTTCCACATGCCCGATGGTTCCTGAAACCTGTAGCTTCGCTATTTAGACTAGACACAAAAATTCATTGAAAACCAGAAACATTTTTCAAACGTTAAAAGTTACCGCAAGCTCCCATAAATTTCACGTTAAGCTATAGAGCCGAACAAACTATTTTTTAGCTATTTTTAGCATATAGAGGCCAAGCGAAGCATTAAGTTAGCGAATAGAAAATGCGACCCGAAAAAAATATAATTTTAATAGAAAAAAATACTAATAGAAAACCCGAAAAAAAATTAGGTTTTTTTAGCAAAAAAATGAAAACAATTTCAGTCATTCAGTCGAAAACAGATAGTGTTAAATAAGCTTTTATCATTGATTAAGCGGCCAGTAAGCCGACCAGTGGAAAAAAAACAATTCCATAAAAAGTTGTTGTCAAAAAAGCAATTAGGTTTTCAAACTTGCATCACAAACTACCTAAATTTTTTAAATCAAGCATTTTTTGGCTTTAAAACTACACAAAAATAAATAACGAAGCCGATAAAACATGAACCTGAAAAAATTAGTTTAGGCCGAAAAAAAACTTTTATCCGAAAAAAAAGACAAAGGAGAAAAAGGGAAAAATAAGTCAGGGCTATTATTTTAACAAACGAAATTTGGTGACATTCCAAAAAAATTCCCGATGTGGCTACTTAACTGACAAAACAAAAGTAGACAAACGAAAGCCCGACAATTGAATGTTACCCGGAAAAACATTCTCAATTTCATACATATTGAAAAAAAAGTCGTTCATAACTCTAGTTTTCTGATTAATTTTGAAAATAATCTTCGGAGGTGAAAAAAATGTCTTAACTTTGACCGGAACAAAATGTCTAGCGTTGAAAAACTTACCCGTTTGTCTATAAATCTTCCTGATAATAAATTTTATTTTTCATGTTAATTTTTCTCATGAATTGCCTAATTGTCTCTTGATTTTGTTGCTAAGTTGCCACAAATTTTCAAACAGTATTGTCAAATAAATTATCAGATAAATTGTCAAATAACAAAGGTTTATCATGATGTTTGTACGAAAGCAAATTATATTTTGAATGATAATTCTTGTTACTTTTAACATCAAGATAAATCTTCGTTATTTTATCTGACAATTTATAGTAACTTAGCCAAGGAAACCAAGAGACAATTGCGCAATTAGGAGCTTCATATAAAATCTTTTCACAGAAAAAAAACAAAAAGAAAACTCATTGGCAAAAAGGTATGAAAAAAAACGAAAATAAAAAAACTTAAAAAATTACAACTAATAAAAAAGATATTAAGTCCCCCTCACCCTCAAAACACAGACACGCACATGTAAGCTTTTCGCTTGTCGAAAGACGCAATATTAATCCATTAAGCCGATATATTATCAGCCGAACCCCTATCAAGACAAAAAAGGGAAAAAACAAAAAGCTAAAAATGTCATGAAAAAATTTGAACTATAATCGTTATTAAAATTTTTTAGCATTTTATGCAATCCAGAGTGATCATTAAAACGACTCAAAATTAGGTCACTAATCCGATTACGTATAAACCGAAATTATTTGGGACAGAAAAAAGTTTTTAAGCAAAAAAAAACATTAAAAAGAAAATATGCGCAATCAAGGCTAGGAAAATTATTAACAGCAGAAATAAATCAGAACACTTGACGCAATTACAAACTCGATTGTGATCGGCAAAAAAAATCTACGATATGACATTTTATCACCCTTAATGACTCATATCTGGAAGGGAGCAGAAGACGTTTAGCAAGCAGGGGCAAAACTACAATACAAGCTTCGAAGAGGGAGCATCAACCTTGAAACAAAAATAGCCGGTTCTTGTGCAATTAGCAATGTTCAGACCAGTTATCTTGAGAAAATGAAAAAAATATATATTTAAAAAATTTTTTTAAAAAGTATGAATGTAGAAAAGAAACAACAAAGATAGTTGCTAAATATTTCATTGATAAATACGTCAAGAGTTTTGATAAAGTTTAAATACTGTTATGATTTTCGGCTTAGATAATGTTTTTTTTTCACTACCGAAGATGTGAATTCAGGTGTTTTCACACAAACCTAAGTTTCTGAAACAAACTTCAGACAGTTGTTGATCATTCACTATGAACCACTTTCAATCGTGACTCCGGGTACAATGCAAAATTATTAGTTGGCGTTTAGACAATTTTATTTTAGAGGGACGAGTTGATCAATTGAACCATCAAGTCTGTGCTCTGAAATAGTATGAAACAAAATATTCGAAATTTTACTCAAATCAATTTATTTGACTTTAATTAGATATATCAATCACCCTGATCTGAGCTTCATTTGTGGAATTTGGATTTTCGAGAAAAAACAAGAAAACGAAAGGTTCTTCGACGCCTTGAGAGATCAAACTTTTATGACATCCATTTTGGGCGACCAAATCTAAAATTTTTCTGAAGGTGTCTTTGGCGCGAGTATTTAGTAATTTTGAAAGAGAATGCGCCAAAAAACGCGTTTTTTAGTTCAAAAGTTTCCAAAAAGCAGAAAAACAACATTTTTGACCTGTTCTTTCAAAAATTTGGCTGCGGCACAGTAAATTATGTTGAAATAAGGTCTTTATAGTGCTCTGGGAGCACTAGGGAAATCAATTTTCTCAGACTAAAAAAAGTTTTTGAAAACCTCGCTCGAGAAAATCCTAGATCCGCCCCCTAACAATACTGAGCAATAGCTCAATTAGGTCTATACAAACGTCACAGAAAAATTTTTGGAACAAAAAACAGTTCTTCTGATTAATCGTTGTAAACCTTATTTTTCAACAAACATTTTGACATTTGCTTCAACATTCACATCCCGCTGAAACAAAAATTACAGAGGCGAAGCTTCGCTTCGCAAACACAAGCGAGAACACGACAAAAAGCAGCTTTAGAAAGCTCAATAAGAAAAAATAGAAATAAACCTCGAATAAGCAAAAATTCGTCGAGGTCTAGGATTCGCTCTGCGACCTAATGAAATCAAGAGATTTTGAGTCTCACGCACTATCCACTCAGCCACGCAAGCTTAACAACGGACAAACACTAGTCACGAATAAAGCAGTTACATATGCTAATAAATTGTCAATGCCATTCAGCAAAAGTGCCACCAAATACAAATAGACTAAATTTTGCAAAAAATAATTTGGAATATACAAAACTGAAGGCATCCACACTAACTTTGCATGTAACAAACCAAAAAACATAAGGCCACGCTGTGTATAATTTATGCATTTCAAAAAATTGCGAGATATATTGAGTTGTAAAATTTCTTCAATCGAGTTTTCATTATTCTTATGTTGTTTCAAACAAATCACTTTTTTTCGGTTCATTTGATGAATTAAAAAGGCGTTAACTGTGTTACTTATTACTATTCGAATGTCAAAGCACAAGCTATGAAAAA